TCATGGTCACTCAAATTTCATGCATGGACATGCGAAACGTGACACTGCTATTTTTGTAACTCCACAATTAAAACAAATGTTTGTCCTGCGGCACCGTTTGTTCAGCAGAGAAAATATTAATGGAAATAAAGAGGCTTACGATGAGTGAAGCAATCGAAAGAGTTGGGCTTAAACGACAAGAAATCTTTAGAAGCGTTTTGAATTATCAACAATATTTTACAATATCAATTTCATGAAATTAGACAGAAAAATAATACTTTATCGATGAATGCAATGAGAAAATGGAAAAATAAGGCATGAATCTTTTTTTCTTTTCAGTAAGTGATAAAATAAGGCAGCAGCTGTGGAGGCGGTGGCCGGCGCAGCCAAGCAATAATGGCCAGCTTACTGTCCATTGGCTTTTGGGATTTCCATCTGGCTGATGATGTCGTACATTGATGCACGATTCTTCGAGATATCCACGCGATTCAGAAGCGTTGAAATTTGCCGTTGAAAATCGTCGTCTTCCTGTTGATTCTGAGCAATGCGCTACAAATTTAATCGTTTCTAATTTAAAGTTCAGGAAAACCTGATAGAATGACCCTAACGGTTAAGTGGCTTAATCAAAGTATATCTGGAACGTGTGCTGCCCTGCCCACAGCAACTCCAAATAGAATGATCAAGAATCGGAGATGATACCTCAGACAGCTAACTCCCTGTAAAGTCTAAGAAAGCTTCAACTTAAATTTACAAAAAATGTGGGGTACCGCGTAACTATTTAAGTAAAGCTGTTGTAAAATTCGGGACCAAAACGTAGCGAAATGCGATATTCCAGCATCGTGCTGTGCCGCATAGAAGGTAATATACGATGAACTTGTTTTGTCCTACGGGTCAACACTCTTTGCGTTTTACGGGGCAGTCACTCTGGATTCTTTACACAGTAAAGGCTGCAGACGATTGAAAGACCGGACTTTTGCTTGCAACTATAAGTGCACGAACAAAATTACACAGGGCCATTAGGGAGTCATGCACCGTCCAGCCCGTATTCTCCTCTCTTTTATCCTTCCCTTTCTCCACCCTAATCCCTCTTCCAACTTCCTTTCCTTTCTGTATTTAAAACTAATGCCATGCAAAATGCTTCTTACAGAAACGTAATTTTTCTTCCCTTTCAAATTCGCTATCACTTTGGATTCATTATATTTTAAAACAACCCAGCTTAATGGCTGTGAATCTTTCAGGAGTTATGAAAGTGCTCTTAAGTCAAGAGACAACCATCTTCGAATGGGCAGCAGTACACAGGATGAGACGCTCACTGCTTTTTATGCGTTTTTGCCTATATGCAAATTGCAAAAACGCATATTGGGACGACCCTGTCTG